GAGAGAGAGAGAGGTGTTTGATTGATGGTTAGAATAGTGGGGAGGGGTGGGTCCTTCAGGGTTGAATGGGATGGAGGAGAGGAGCCTTAAAGAAGGATGCAAGGAAAACTTAAAAGGAAGGGTGAGCAGAGAGAGGAGATGATACGAGAGAAGAGGGCAGAGGCTGGTAGTTGGTGAACTCTCTCTATATTTTGAGCTTTCTTTCTCACTTCTTTGCTTGTGGACCTTTTGACATTTCACAGAGAGAGAGACAGACAGAGAGAGAGAGAGAGAGAGTTGGGGGGTTTTCCCTTATGTTTTGTCTCCACATGAGCCACTCTATTGTCCTATTTTGTATTTTGTGGTGGATAAGAATACAGGATTTGTATCTTAGAAGAAGCTAACAAAAATACATCCATCATATTCAAAATCACCAACTATTAGCTAATTATATATTTTCCACAAACAAATGTGAAATTGGATTTATTTTCATTAAATGTTTGTTATTATAGAAATTAACTTTGGTAGTTTGAGATCTAATTGGTTGTATAACAAATTGCACTTCTGCAAATTACTAATGCTATTTCTTGGTAAAAAAAGAAGCCTCCTTTTAATGCAAATATGTCCAATTGTTTTTATGCAAATACGAAAACAAAGTAAGATTTTGTTTTCGTTTATTTTCTTGAGACTATTAATATATTTCCTAAAATAATAAAGTATATTTGTATAAAATTGAACTTTTTGAGAAGTTAGATTTGGAGTTCTACACCATCTTTGTCTCTTGTGTGGTTGACTTGAGAAATTATAGGTTTTATGAGTATTTTTAGAATCCTAAAACGAGTTCGTTTGAAGGATAAAGAATCTAAATATAAAAAGAAATTGAGAGAAAAATCTTAAAATTTATTGTTTCCATATATTATTAGGAATAAATGAATTGATAATATTAGAAAATACTTGGAGTACTCTAAGATTTTCTTAGTCGATCGAAGATGATGTATAAGGAGAGATTAACTCAGGATATATATCTCATATTATTTTGCATTAACATAAATCTTAGATCAATAATTTCTTTCTCCCCAACATAATATATGTATATAGAAATTTCTCTTCTAAAGCAGACTTGGAGAAATCCCTTATTAATCCAAACTTCTTCTGAGCACTGACTCAAAATGACAAATAGCAAACATTGCAACCTACAAATCAAGAGAAGAAGCACTTACCAATAATCTATTAAAACTTGTCTACTGATATGTGCTTTCAACTTGTATGACAATTGATATTTGGAACTAAGTATCTGTAGAATCCAAGTGATATGTGTCTTCTAAGTTGGCAGACCAAATCTACTAAGGTTTGTGTATGATAAGATCAGCATTGTGTTGGATACTGAGGTTTGCCTGAGGTGAGGTGATCAGTGGATTAACATGACTGATATTTCTAGCAGAATTTTACTCCTTTAACATGACTGATAAATCTATGTCGAGCTTGTCCGATTCATGTATCATGTCTTCATCGTACCCAAATGAATCGACTGATTCACTTGTTCATCTGATGAGATTCCACAACAATTACCAGCCAGAGAGAGAGAGAGAGAGAGAGAAGGAGGAGGAGGAGACTTCAAAGTTCCATGTCAGCAAATGGTTAGATGCATGGAGAAGGGGGAAGAATGGGGGAGAGAGAGAGAGAGTTGGATCCATGCATGTCAGAAACCAATGGATTGGAAGGCTACTGCAGGTGCACTGTTCTCACTTGAGCTGATGAGGTTGCATGCACACAATTCCTTCGAATAAGTGGGCTAACAAAGACAAATTGGATACTATGCATCGGCCAATCTTTGTCTCCTATCTCCATTACCACTAAGATTTGTCGTCAACAAAGGCAGCTACAGGGACTGATGCCCAGCTTCATCATCGTTAGATACACATTAGAATAATTATCTGAGTATGTCAACGTATTTTTCTTTTATTATTTTGAGTATAAATCAAATAGTGAAGCTTAAACATTCAAAATCTCATCTCTTTGACTTCTCTTCACATATGATTTTCTCTAAACATCCTACGATGACATCCATAAACTATTCTCTCATCTTCAATTATGTGAACAACTCGTTATCCTCCAAAAAATACCTCAAACAAAGTGCTTTGAGGATCGTGCCTCACTAGTTTTCTTCAAATCAACAACATTTCTAGGAACATTTATGGGAACCCAAAATGTTAGAGCATGTAGCCCTTGGCTTAGTAAATCTTTTCATGTATGTGGATTGCATCATCTAATCATCTATTATAGATGATTATATATATATGTATATTATAGATGCACAGAATGTTACCACTAAATCTAGATCATGGTGGATGAAACTGCCATAAATAGAACAAATATTTTTGACTTAGATGGTGAATTATGTTGACCCATGAATCAATGGTGAATGGCATCAATTAGTTTCAGATAGCAATCATAAATGGAAGACCAAGTCAACCTTACAATCATAAATGGATAATGTTTGGTATAGACTCTTCAGAAGTTATACTGTATGAGATAAGTAGTTATCATATTTCAAATAAGAAGTATAATTACCAAAATTATATATATATATATATATATTGCATTTGTTTAATTGTTTTCGAGTAATTTGCAATTAGTTGATTGCATATATATTTTATCTAAGAATTACTTTTTCCATTTAAATATTACCTTATCTGCCCATTGAACACTTTACTAATTTAATTGCACGTATATATATATATATATATATATATATATATATATATATATATATATATATATATATATATAAAATTTATTTTGGAGGTACCTATAAGTAATTAAATACATATGAATAAAGCACTTACTGTAATAGACTTGCAGATAACCCAAATTTCCTTTCAAAAATATATATAAGATTTTGTTAATATATACCTTTCATTTATTCTTACAAAAAGTGACTTACTTACATTGAAGATTTTAAGAATATCTATGGAGATCGATGTCTAAAATGTCTCTTTCTTTCAATGCAGATCACCAATTTGCATCCCAAATTACATCCTCTCCCTCTCTCTCTCTCTCACACACACACAAATTGAGGGGTAGGTCGGTGCACAAGGTCAAAAATGGCGTTATATGGCAAGTGGAGATATCATGAAAGGACAGCTGATGAAAGAAGCTTGGGCACGTTCATTGGACCGAGCCTCGGTGGGGTCAGCGGGGACCCACCCCCCCCCCCGCCTTTAGTGTGACCTGTCGAATCCACCAACGACTCCCCTCTTGCTGTCTCCACGCAGACACGATGAACTGTGGGCAAAACACTTGGTTAGCTCAAAACGCGTGGGCCCCACGACCACGGCCCATGTTTGGATCTCTTAAATTTGATGTGATATGCTACTGTATATTTATCGAGAAGACGAAAAAGACCCCCTCCCCCCGAATAAATCAAAAGAAAATTCCAGAAATCATTAACTCGCCACACTCGAAATTGATGGCGGAAGTGATGGACCGAAAACCATGGATCGGAAGGTGGGCAGGGAACGAGGAATTGGTCCGCTGCCACGTCCAAGCTTGACGTGGACGTGGGGTTCGTTGACCTGGACAATGCACTCCGGGTGGGGCCCGTCCATCCAGCTTTGACCCGAGCCGGAGCGAATCCCTTTGTCACGTTCCAATTTGGGTGCATCACGCCGTTGTTCTCGTGAATAGGCACGCGACTTGGAATCGGATTAGTATGACGATCGATACAAGACTAAAAGGTCGAATCGAACGCATGGAGGAGTCGTTGTACCTGATCCGATCGACCGATGGGTTGTGGAGCATCGACGTTGACTCGAGGTGTTAGGTCAGCAAGTCAAGTCAATCTAATCAGGCTCACCTGCCAAGTTATCGTCGTCGGTGCACCACGAGCTGTGTCGGATGATTTCTAGATCCTCTGGCGGATGGGATGGCAAAGCCTTGACCGAGATGCGATGCGCGAGGTCAACGAGCCAATTCAACCGGAAACCACCCAACGCTACACGGTTCTTGTAATAAATGCACGCCCAGCAAAATGGAACTATCTATCTATCAAGTCAAATGACGACGTTATATGGAAGAATCTATCTAACTATCTATCAATCAAGTCAAGTTGTTTATCACAAGATATGGTTATTATTATTTTTATTAATCTAAATTCAACACGTGACATGCAGTTACTGTCACGCTAGCTTCCGAGCACAAGACAAGGGAGTATACTAAATATGCTGCATCAGTATAGTACCTAAATCGATAACTAAACAATTGGCATTATATAAAACAGTCTCTTCAACTACATCTTCTTTTTTAAATCATTTATGAGTACCTTTTGTTCATAATAAGAAAATTAAAACTAAGTAACAAGACTTTTGAAAGGGTATTGTCGAACATGTAATGGATATAATCTTTTGTAGACTCAGAGAAAATAAGAGCTGTGCACAATAATTAACGTAGAAAGAGACGTAAAAAACCTACTCTCATTCTCTTTTTTCCATTTCCTTTAAACTGCCCATAATACAACCTAATTAATTTTCTCTACAACCCAAACAGATCAATAAAATGTTTGGGCAGTTCTTTCGCTAGTCGGTCTTCTCAATAATATACCCGACTTCACATTATTTGGGCTAATCCAGTCGGTCACTAACGTCCTAGTGTGTTCTGTCGAGTTTATACAATGTTCTCTTTCATCAGAATACAGTGAGGATGGGTTCCCATTGCTGTCATGCTTGATGCGGTCGTACCTCTCAGCCTCCACTTGATTGGTTTCCCTGCCGGAACAACTAGCATTCGACCCAGAATCGTTGCTGCTGGGGAGATCAGGCAGTGATCCATTTAAGACTGCTTTTGAGGAACGCACCGATCCCCGAGGAGAATGAGCGAATCCATCAGAATCTTCAAAGATTCTTAGGGGGCTATTCAGGTTGATACTGTCCGATTCTCCCGACATGTGCTCCCAGTACTCTTCAAAACTTGTCGAGTCCCTTGTGCTCTCTGTGCTAC